AACAACACATCCCATACTTCTCTACTGTAAATTTGTACTTTGGCATAATAGTAGCTGGCTGCACCTGGGGACACAGGAAGAAATCTTCCTGTTTACCCACTTGGTATGACAAAAGACAAGGTGTGTGTGTGTACGCAAAAGTGCCAAATTAGGATTTTTACCTATATAATGCTCCTGGTTTTGTGTATGCCTACCTGAAAAACACAGTGGGTAAAATACACCTGCACCACTTTCTGTTCTCAAACATGTATTTTATCATAAATGGAATGTGGGTGGGACCCACAGTAGCTGCACCTGAGGAAATCAAAGCCCATCTGTGCAGTCCCCCCCAACCCCGCCTCCGTGGCGGACGAATGGCAAAGTGGGTCAGGAGACCCAAAGCAACAGGTGGGTTTTATCCATGAAATGCTCATTGCTGAATTTCTGTGCACTTAAATTTTTTAAAATTTTATTGAGAAACAAATATCAATGAGATACTTTCCAAGCTGATTAATAGGATATTTTCAATAATCAATACATTGCACATTGTTATCTTCTCAGTGGTCATCCACAGCACAAGAAGCAGCCAAGACATCCCATCCAAACACTACTACTACAAATCCTTCCTCTCACTGAACCAAGAGAAACAGCCATACATCTATCCTGACTATTCTGTACATACAAATACAAAATGGTCCTTCCTTTGTATTCCCCCTCTCCAGTTCAGTCCTATCAGAGATGGGTATTCTATTGGCATCTAAATATTATAGTGTACACTTAAAATTTGTTTTTAAAAGCATTTTATTTTGATTTTTTTCTGGTGAGAGTAGCCCAATTCAGTAAAATGGCACATAAAAAGCCAGATTTATTTATTTATTTATTTATTTATTTATTTATTTATTTATTTATTGTGGCACCGGAGATTGAACTCAGGACCCTGCACTTGCTAGGCAAGCACTTATTCTACTGAGCTATCACCATGGCCCAACATTTATTTATTTATTGATTTATTTTGAAAAGCCAGATTTGCAAGTTTTGGATGAGACTGAAAGTGAATCTAGGCCAGCAGTATAGGTCAGCTGCACAGCACCTGCCTGGCAAGTGAAAGGTCCTGAGTTCAATTCCTGTACCCCCAAAAGAAAATGAATCATCAAGCTGGGTGTGATGGTACACACCTGTAATACCAGCACTCAGGAGATGGAGGCAGGAGGATTGTTGAGAGTTCAAGACCAGCCTGGGCTACAAAGTGAGCTCAAGGCCAGCCTGAACTGCATAGTGAGACCCTGCCTCAAAATGACGAAAAAGAAAACAAAACAAAAAAAAGCAAGCAAGCAAAAGTGAATCATAAATCATCAGATCATCTGTACATGGATGACAAAGATGAGAATTACTTTGACAGTGTCCATGTGAGCCAAAGTGACAGTGAAATGGAGCAAGTGAACCCATCCAGAGACAGTGAATGCAGACCTCCTTGAATCAGATGATAAAGAAAACAGCCATGTGAGTAGATATTTGCCTAGAAGAAATGGTACAGAATGTTCATGCAACCAAATGAACAATCTAGTGTCAGAATAAAGACTGGAAATATAGTGAGGATCTTGGCAGGGGTGAAATTTACTGGACAGAATGCCAGCGCTGCCATTCAGTGTTGGAAATTGTAACAGACAAAACACTATAAGATGTTGTGAAGTAAACAAATGCCGATGTACAAGTAGAATGTTTTGTACGCACTAATATTGGTTTTTATTCTTAAACGAATGATACATATTGAGAATTTAATACTTTATTAATATTTTATGTTTCTGCTAACTGCACATTGTGTAACATAAAAACCTGCTGACAAAATAGCAAAACCAGCAAGATGGTAAGTCTGTCCTATAAAAAGGGCAGGACAACGGAACACATGTGCTGTCAGTGTAAGCAATATTTGTGTGTCAAATGTGCTGTTGTCCTGCGTGGAGACTGCCTTGGGTGTGATAATTGAACTAAAGTTTTTTTTGTAGAGTTACATTATAGTTCATATATGAATTTATTTCTGTTGTTGGTGTTTTAGACTTTGTACACCAAAAAATAGTTGATATTAAAAAACTTTTGATGCCTTTTTCATGCACACTCAAGAAATATTAAAAATTGTATACTTTATTTTTTATACCTTTTCCTGTTAAGAACTTGTTTAATATAATAAAATTCATAAAATTAAACTCAATGATTCAGCAATGTGAATAAATGCTTTTATGTAAAAATTAGTGTTACCTTCCTTGGGTTTTAATGAGCATAAGGTGACTGGTGAAAAATCTTCCATGTGAGACATTGATTAGCCATCCTGCTCAAGCTTGTAGTTGTTAGTTGTACTCTACTCATAGTGTCAAGTTTATAAACAAATCAGATATGAATTAGGAGAAACAGCAAAAATTATCTTTGCCTGAAGATCTGGAAAACAAAAATACATAAGAAGTTTTGGTAGCTAATATGCCATCCTTAGTCATATTGTCACTCCATAAAACTTAATTCTCCCACTAACTCGTGTATTTCAAACTAATCTTTAAATAAAATGTAGTTAATGCACAACAATTTATAACCTCTTAGAATGTTCTGTACAACAGATTTTAATCACTGGAATAATTTCTCAGAAAAGCAGCACTGCTTCAACTGCGATGTCAACTGGGTAAAGGTCCTGTTTTCCAGGGAAAAGGTTTCATGAATAAAATACTGGGCTCCTTGTAGTCTCATCAGTCTAGAGAACATTTCTGAGCAGCAGCTTTGGAACAAGCATCCCTTAGTAAGTTGATCACAGACCTGGGATTTTCACCCCTGTAATTGTGCTGCCAGATGACCGTGGTGGCTCCTGCACTTGCACATTATGGACAGTGCAGGACCTACTCCGTCACCTCTGTATCCAGAGGTGAAAACGGTCCTGCACCAGTGAACCTTTGGTATCTTGCCTTTGATGAATTTCTGTCCTCCAAACCCAGGTTCTACTGCTATGGCCAAGGTCATATCTATTTGATTAGCCCAAAGAGCCAAATACTCAACTATAGTTCCTGGTTTGACGGCAAGGGCACCTTGATCCCATTCTCTTGGGTATCTTTGACCAAACCTCCTGGGCTGTCAGTAGTCTTGAGATGAAAGGTGTATTGCATGGCTCCTGCTAAGGCCATTGGGTTTACTCACTGTTCTGGCCTGACCACCATCATATGCATTTTAAAGAAAAGGCCCTCTCTTTCCTAGGGCTGATTTTGGAGACCTGTCACAGGGTGACCAAAGGTAATTTTGGGAACAAAATGCCCCCCCCATCCATACAGATAATCAGGCCCAGAGTGTAGAATCCAGAGACATTTGTCCCCTAAATTGAGAAGGTTGCTATTAAGGAGAGACGGGCCAGTCTTGCGGCCCAATGCATGGTGCTGGTTCTCTAAAGCAAGTTTTCTACCTTTTTTTTGAGACAAGATCTCGCTATGTATTTCAGGCTGGCCTTGAACTCACAATGATTCTCCTGCCTCAGTCTTTTTATTTTATCTTTATTTTTATTTTTTCCCATAATTTTATTAATAAACAAATAGCAATGAGACAGTTTCAAATCAAATTGGTGCCTCAGTCTTCTAAGTTCTGAAATTATCAGCATGTGTCTCCACACTGGCTATTGTAAAAATTTTAAAGTATTGCTTCCACATCAAATCATTAATCTACTTGAAATTGACCTACATTTGTAGTGTGATATATATGTAGGGCTAATTATTTTATGAGGAATTAAAACAAATTATCCTAAGATCAAATATTGACTAGGTCATCCTTCTGTACCTTGGTTTGCAGTGCTTACTCATGCTTGTATTCTACATGTGTAGGTCAGAAGGGCAATGTATGTGAAGAGGGGAGGAGCCCCCTTTTTTTTTCTCTTGGGTGGCAATAATTTTGGAATTGCTTCTGCCTGTGTTCTTTGCCAGAGCAGAAGTAGAAGAAAGACATATTATTGGTTTCGCAGGGCTACCACAACAAATCACCACACTATTAGATAACAGAAATTCATTTTGCTATGGTTCAAGAGGTTTGGGTTGGAGCTGGGGAGATGGCTCAGTGGAATAAATGCTTCCCTGGCAAACACAAGGGTCTGAGTTCAATCCCTGGTTCCACACACACACACACACACACACACACACACACACACACACAAAGAGGTTTGGGTTTAGGGGAGTTGCTAAGGGAGAACTTGGGATAAGGGACTAACTTGGGCTGGGTCTCAAAAGACAGGCTGGGCTTTGGGGGGCAGAGGAGTGGGAAATAGCATGTGGCATGACCTGCTGTCCCCCAGGTGGTTTGTGGGCTGGACTGGTAGCATTTGGGGTTTCGTTTGATAATGTGAAGGTACAAATGTAGAGGAGAAGTCTGTGCATGAGGGACCATCCCCAGAAGGCCAAGATTCCACTCACGCACACTGCAAAAGGGAAGGAAAAGAAGTCGCCTCTTTCACTCACCTAGACTCGATATGGGCCAAGATGTGAGGCTCTTAACTCAAGAGCACATAACCACGATGGGGTCTGTGTGCATGTACATGTCTGTGTGTGCATGTGTACATGTCCTTCCGTCTGTCCACCTGTGTGTGTGTGTGTGTGTGTGTGTGTGTGTGTGTGTGTGTGTGTCTGATCTGTGGCTTCACATTTCTGTGATTTTGGAGTTGTGTGTTCCTTTAGGGATTTCTTTCTAGTTGTAGATGACAGAAATTAGGTGTGGTAGAACTCCTTTTTTTGCTTGACATTGTGCAGCAGAAGATAGTTTCCTTGAAGCTTAGGGATATTTCTAACGTTCTCTGCCCTTGATCTTTCCTTTATCCCTTTCTATACCCTATCCACTGCATTCTTTCTGTTGGAGTTGGTAGGGACAGAAATAGGAAATGACATGATGTTTCTTACTGAATATCCAGTTGGATTCATTGTCTGGTAATTTTGGGTTCTTGGGGTCAGTGGGGCTATTGATGACCTCTCTTCTGGGTTGGGTCCTACCTCCAAGCCTACTGCCACCAGAATGCCTCAGGGATTGTTCTTGGGGGAGAAACCATCCTGGGTTTTGATGAAGAGCTTCTGCAGAGACATCTCCTTGTCAACAGCAGCCTGGATGTTCCTGGCTGCCCGAAGGCCAGACTTGATGGCAGTGTCAAGCCACGCATGGGGAAGGCAGGTGTGCTCACCTGCAAAGTGAATGCGGCCCTCTGCCTGGAAGAGCTGCTGTGAATAGTCCACAAACTGGTAGGGTCTGAACTGAGCAAAGGCACCAAAGGTGAAGTGGTCCAGGGACCAGTGTTTGACCACTGAGGTGGGGCACATGTGCTGCAGCTCCTCCTTGGGTATCTGATGCACAGCTGCCAGGTCATCTAGAACAATGTCTACAACCTGGTCTTGTTTCATGGCAGTGAAGAAGAGGGAATCATTGCCTATAGTGTAGGAAGCCAGTAGGGCACCCTTGCCACTGGGGTAGCTGTGACTGGGATACTGGATGTACCGTGAGGGCCGGTCAGTGATGGATACCCCACCCCTAATTCCATCCTTATCCCAGAATCTCTGGTTGCAGGCCAAAATCACTTTGGTAGCACTGGTGTAGTACACTGAACGCAGGGCATCTCTCTTGCGTGGGCAGAGGGGTGGCTGGAAGGCAATGAGGCGAGTGGCCTTGGCTGAGCTGGAGATGATGATGTAGTCTGCTGTGAGGTTGTGCAGCTTTGATGTGGGTCCCCCCACACGGTACAAAACCTGGACCTCGGGCCCGTTCCTCACCATCATCTCCACCTTGGACCCCAGATGGACAGTGCCAGGCCTCAGGCTGGCGTTGAGGGCATTGGGGAACTGGTCAAAGCCTCCTGTGATCTCAGAGAAGCTGCAGGGCCAAAGAGAGGGGAGGGTGAGGGTGGGAGGCACTACCAGAGCAGTGTGCCAATTGCCAATCATATTCTGATCTGGGATGGGAAACAGCTCCATGCACCCCCTATAGGGACACTTCACATACATAGCCTTAGTTGATGTACAGGAAAAGATTCTCTCTTAGGGAAAGATAGGTGCTTAATGTGATAGTCTGGAAAACTGACACCTATAGAGAAGTGACTCTTTCAGGATCACATAGGCTGTCAATCAGGAGCTCATGGATCCAGCTACCTGCTTCAACTCTTGACAAAGCAGTATAAACTTGGGTAAATCCCATAACATCTCAGCCTCTTGACATGTAAAATGATTCCCAATAATAATATCTATTTATTAAATGTGATTAAATGTCTCAATTCTTGAAAAGTGCTTAGCACAGTGCCTGGCACATAGTACATGTCCAATAATCATTGGAGAGGGGGTTCTCACCCTGCCCCCAGATTATCCTTACTCATCACTTTTGGAGATGTTCATGTTCTGCAGGGACTCCAGAAGGGACTTATAGTAGCCAGAATTCTCATTCATCACATCTCCGATCATCTTTACTGCTTCTCTGCTCAGTTGCCCTTTCTTCAGCAGATAATCCTGGGGGAGGCATGTGTAGGGTAGGATTGTGAGGTGGAGGACCTTGTGTATAGGAAAGGGCTTTAGCAGGGGCCTAGGTCCGGGCAAGGTGGGACTGGACTCCAGAGGTGTAAAGGTTGTGGCAGTGAGAGGAGTGCACACTGAGGGGAGCACACAGCCTGGGGGCTGGTCCATGCACAGGGACTACCTTCCACATCCACCCCAGGACTTCTTTGTTGTACTCACCTTGGTGGAGTAAGAACTGTAAAGGGACATCAGCTGGCTGCAGTTGGACATTTTCAGATTTTGTTTTGTCTGCAGAAGGGGAGGAGAGATACCATCATGAAGTTGGGCCTTTGGGCCATGAGGATCATCCAGACTGCTGTGGACAGAGAGGCCATGGTGGGGGGCAGATGGTTCTGTGTGCCGTTAGGTTAGAGATAACACTGTTGGGTTCCCTGGATGTCCCTCAAAGAGTGTGGGGAAGCAGACAGAGGGATGGAAGGACCAGAGGAATGACAGTTTTAGGAACTTCAACAAGATCCTTTTTCACAAGTATGTCCTCTCCATTTAAATATTTTTTGGAAATTAAGGTGAATATCTTCACTGTTGATTCATTACCAAGGACAGGCTGATGTAGTATAGCATTACCTTTCCTCCCATTGCCACTGATCAAATAATGGGACAGGAGAAGAGGGGGTTGGACTGTGTGGTCTTCTTAGTGGCAAATGCTTGGGGAGTGATTTAATAGGAAGGTAGGCCAATCACAAGAGTGAAGCAGGAGTCACCTGAGCCCATCCTTTAACTTTCCAGGGAAACTTGGGGCAAACAGATACTTGGGATAAGGCAGTTAGTACCTTGGTGATGGCCTGGTAGAAGAGATTCATGGCATTCTTGGCTGTCTCTGTAGAGTCCATGGAATAGGCCAGGAGCTCTGGTTTGTCCATGACCTCCATGGCACGATAGTGTTGTCCATTGATTAGGTACCAGGTATTGGCATCGAATTGGATGAACTTGTTCAGCTTCAGGCCCAGCTTCTCGATAAAGGTATGGGTCAGTCTGGAGCAGAGCAAGATTTCCTTTTTGCTTGCTCCATAATAGAAACCACTTCCAGGAAATCTAGTTTCATTTTGTGTCCAGGAAGCTCAGACTGCTTCTTCAACTCTAATTTCCTCTTCCCCTTGCTATGGTCATTGGGCCTTTTATTCCTGTCTGCTTTGCCTCAGGGTCTTAGGGGGTGGGGTATTCACTCAACACTGAATTAGGGTTCTTTAGAAAATCCCAGCTGGTAGGTTTCAAAAGTAGAGATTGAGGCCTTTTGTTTCAGGCAGTATTTGAAATTCTATTTTTCATGTTTAAATGAGGTCATATTTAATAACTCTTAGTTTGGTCTGCTTTAACTCTTTTCCTCTCACTTTTGCTTCTGATGGTTTGGAGAGAATATAGTAGTCATACTTGTTGAGGCACACGGGATATTGGGCCAGGGATCCTTTTTCTTTTGGAAACCTTAAAACCCAAGACCTTGTCCATGTCCATGTTGAGATATGGTTTAGGAGTCAAACATGGCCTTCTATGCCAAGTGTCTCCTTGATCTTTGTTTTTTTTTTTTTTTTCCTTTTTGTTGTTGTCCCGAGGATTGAACTCAGGACCCTGAACTTTCCCCGGCCCCAAAACAACTGTTGGTTCAACTTTTTTTTTTTTTTCCAGTACTGGGCATTGAACTCTGGACCTTGTGCTTGCCCTACAGGCAATTAAACCACTGAGCAATCTCCCAGCCCTTGCCTCCTTGATCTTGAAGAGGAGTTTTGTTGCTTCTTCCTAGGAGAAATGTGGCTGAGTCGCTATTATATCTGAGCCCATTCTGAATTTTTAAATAGGAATAATATGAATAGCAAATTATAGAGTTGTGAGGATTGATGAAATAATGTACACATAATGTTCAACAAGTTACTGTTAATAATAATGATTATAGTTTCACAGCTTATTGTGACAATGGACACATAACAGACTAGCCATATTTGAAGCACAAATTTGATGAATTATTGCTAAATATATAATTGATAGTTCAAGATCTACCATTTTCTGTGTGACACTGGGCTCTTAACATTGGTCTCTATCAAGTGGGAAACCACCATTGCTCTTCACTGACATATTTAATCACATGACAAAGGGAATCCTGAAGGGCTTTGACAGGATGCAACAAGACCCTTGTGCCCCTTCCCCATCCCTCCCACATGGCCTTTGCTCCATCTCTCTCCTGGGACTTACCTGTGGGATTTGGGAATTCGCATAGCCCCCAGCTCGTAGTACCAGTCCTCTTCCTTATTCCTGAATGTGACTACTCGACCCCCTATGTGGTCACTGGCCTCCAAAATGGTTACCTGCAGTTCAATGGCAGCTAGCAATGATTAAGTGTTAAGGCTTTCAGACACCTAGGGAGAAATGTACAGTCGTCCACGAGTTGGCTCTAACTCCAATCTTGCTTTTCCCTTTCAAGGAGGTATACTAGAAACAAATGATAGACTCTTCCAAGCCTCCTCACCTGGTGACCAAGGTCCTGCAGGGTCTTGGCTGCTGTCAGGCCTGATACACCAGCTCCCACTACCACTATGTGTTTGGGCAGTGGGGAGCGAGGGAGCTTATCCTGGGCCATGGTGAGGATGGACTCATATTCTGGGTCCTGGAAGCACTTGACTAGATCCTCATCATAGGCAGAGCAGCTGGAGATAGCCAGCAGGAGCCCCCAAATCAGAATACCTGGGAGGAAGAGAAAGAAATGGGGGCTGAGTCTTTGTGAGCCCTGGCTGCACTGCCCAGGATGAACTTGACTGTGAACAAATGTGGAACAATCAGGGTGAGGTTATATCTGGCTAGTTGGTAGATTTGTACATTTGTGACAGAGTTTATGTTGGGGAGATTGTGTTGTGGATAGAAATGTATGGACTGTAGTGATGTTGGCTGTGTAGTTAATGTGTGACTGTGAATGTGATCCCTAGTACATGTGCATTCATGTGATTGGAAAGTCATGGATGTGGTAGGTTCATATTTGACAGTAAATGTGCCTGCTCTTGAAGGTGAGTGTGCACATGACCTCGTGTGTGAGTGTGGGAGGGACTATGGCTTTTTGTGTCTTTCAGCTTGCAGGTTATGAGTTTGGGATTGCTGCTCCACAGGACCATCCTGTAGGCGAAGGATGTGCTTGTAGAATGGTGCAGGTGAGTTTGAATGTACATGGGAAGGTGAAATGAACTAACCCGAGTGTAGCTGACCTGAATTTGAGAAAACAAGAGTGAAAAGATGTGTGTGTGTTTGTGACAGGGTGTGTGTTTGTGTGCACTTGTGCAAATGAGTGTGTACAGAAGGCAGGCACAATTAAAGGGGTAGGGAGTGGGGAGTGACCTGTGGTAGACTGGCAGCCTGTCGTTCTTTTCCAGTCTCACTGTACTTTTTAAAAAAGATTTCTGGGTATTTAATGTAGTGTTCACTTCAGCAGCACATATACCAGGTGTTTAGTATGCAACTAAGATCAGGAACTATTGTTCAGGGGCAGGTATACAGCTCAGGGGCACAGTCCCTGGCTGGCAAGTATGGTACCTTGGGTTCAATTCTTGGTACAAGAAAAGAAAGAAAGAAAGAAAGAAAGAAAGAAAGAAAGAAAGAAAGAAAGAAAGAAAGAAAGAAAGAAACTATTCATAGTCACATGCAATGAGTTCATAGGCATAGGCAAGGCTTTGTGAACCCCAGTTGCACAAGAAATAGTTCCAAGAATCAGCAAATGCGATCGTATCAAATTTAAAAGCTTCCACATGGCAAAGGAAACAACAAACAGAGGGGAGAGACAACCTACAGAATAGGATTTTTTTTGCCACACATTTGTTATACAGAGAACACATATCTAGAAAATATAAAGAACTGAACAAATTAAACCTTAAGGTAGAAAACCCAGTCAAAAAATGGGCAGGTGAAATGAATAGATACTTCATAGATGAAGCACAAATGAATGATAAATACATGAACAAATGTTCAACATTGTTGGCCATTACAGAAATGCAAATTAAAACAATTCCAAGAGTCTGTCTTACTCCAGGAATGATCATCATCAAGAGATCAAATAGCAAATGCTGACAAAGCTGTGGGGGAAGAAGGAAGCCTTCTACACTGTTGGGAATGTAAACTATTGCAATCACTGTGGAAGTCAATATGGAGAGTGCTCCAAACACTAAACATTTGACCCAGGTATTCCCTCTCCAGACATTTCCCCTATGGAGTTAAAGTTATCATATTACAGTAATTCATGCATGCCCTTGTTTACAGCAGCACAGCTTACAATAACTAAATCTTGAAAGTGTCCCACATGTCTACCAACAGATAAATAGATAAAGAAAATGTGGTTCTCACATGCGACAGACACTACTCTGCCATAAAGATGAACCTGACTCATGTGTAGGAAAATGGATGCACCTGGAGACCATAGTCTTTTTTTTTTCTCTGTAATTTTTTTTTTAAAGTGTG